TAGTTATAGCAGTTTGTAAATCACTTATATTTTCTTCTTCGTCAGTATCTAAACTATCTGATTTATATGGAGGTGGTAAATTAGTTTGTTCAGGAAGAGGGTCTTGTTCTAATATATCCTTTGATTCTGTTTGGTCAAAATTTGTTTCTTTTTGGTTACGGTGGATAGAACTAATTGTTATTTCAAGAAGTTGTAAGTAGATTGGAGAATAAGTTGAAGAATAAGTTGAGGATAAACTAGAAATTTTTGAATAAAGACGATCTGGGCATAGACTAGGTGTTTAATATTAGGATAGATAGGCTGATAGTCTTGGTCTAATGAAGTTGTAAAGATAATGACTTCCTCTTCTGCAGTATGTACTGATGCAGTTTTAGCTATACTTAAAGTTTCTGTAATTACAGAATGAGTATCATCCTGGTATATTTTTGAAGTAGATAAGGATGCAGTTCGATGAGGACTATAAGATACCAAAGTTTTATAGACCCTTTGGATAAATTTAGGTGAAGAAGCAGATGATAAAGAGGCTTCTTCTAGATTAACACTTTGAGTATCAGGTGAGGTTAAAAATTCTTCCCTTCTTTCTAATTAAGTAGTTTGAATAGGAGTTGTAATAGAAGTAGATGCAATAACAGGTGTTCCTATCCTAATAATAGTATCAGGAGAAGATGGTAGTAAAATAGGTGTAGTGGTTTCTTCTGTAGTTTGTTGTTCTTTATTTGAGTATAATGTTTGAAGATAAGACTGAGCAGCGGTAGAATTGTTAATAAAAATATTATAGTGGTTGATATAGGCACTTAAAGCTTTATAAAGATTATGAAAAGAGGTGTGTTTTCATAAAATAAGTTGAGCAGTTAATCAAGAATTAGGTACAGCTTCTTTGTATTGGCAGCTAAAAATAATATTTTGAATAGCTAAACAGGCTTTAGCTCGATCAGTAGTAACTAACTGATAAAAACTAGAACTAGTAGCTTGACTATAGATAGTAGCATTATAGGCTTAAGAATACCAGTTCTAAAATTCTTTAAAACATTTACAAAGAGTAAGTGTTATAGGATAGCACTGGATACAAGTTAAATCAGGTGCAATAGTTTGAAGAACAGAAATATCAAGAGAAGGGCTATTGAAATGGGATTGTTTATGCTTCTGAATATTTTCTAGATAATAACGGGTTAACAGATCTCCCATAAAATAAATAAAAATAAATCTTTATAAAGAAGATTAGTAGTAACAATGATAAAAACGATAGAGAAAATAAAATAAAATAAATCAAAGAAGGTTGCTAGCAGTAACAAAATGAAATAAAATTCGCGAATAAAACAAAAAAAAATAACTTGAGTAAAGATAACAAAATATAATTCTAAAATTTAAACAAAATATATGTATGGCCGGCAAGAAAGTTAGTAGTTAAGAAGTAAAAGCATAAACTCCTTGTCAAAACAAATCCAAATACAATTCAATAAATTAAATACAATTCAAGTTGAGTTAGTAGTGGTATACCAAAAATATAATTTCTTAGGATGCTTTTTTCAATAGCTTCTGCTGCTCCAAGAGAGTTAAAAATAGTTTCTGCAAGAAGGTTTTCTTTCAAGAAAGAGAGAGAGGTTTTGCTTCTAAGAAGATAAATTTTGCTTCTCACAAAATTTTATGTTTTCGCTAAGAGGCACCAAAATGTTACAGAGCTGTAACCTTCTTAGTAAAATACAACCAAATAACAAGGTTACCTAGTACAGTGATTGACTATTGCAAATATATACAGGGTAGAGGTGTAGTTGTTCACTTAATTACACAGTAGCAGGCAAATGGTTCGAGATAGTAACAGTATATAAGATAGCTTTATTTAATACAAGAATGGTAATAAGCCTTGCCTGTAGGAATTACCCTAGAGGAGGAATATCATACTTTACAAGATAAAAAGGAGTAAAAGATATCAGAGTCTAAGCGAAGTGTAGGAACTTAAGAATTGGCAGGAAGGGAGAAAAGGCACCCTTTATATATCTGTTTACCTATAAGGAGGATATACGATATACAGTATATGAGTAACACTTGGCAGGTGAAGAAGGTGAACTTGTATAGAGGAAGTAGGGGATTGTATTGGGTGAAGAAGATGATTGTGCTAGGTGAAGTAGAGAATATATAAATATTACTCATCATGTTTATATTTATTTACATCTTATGTGGGAGAATTAGAGGACTTTGCTATACAGTATTTTGTGTTTAAAACATTTAGAACTTGTGCAGGGGAATTAGATATTTGTGTGGAGAAAGAAGGTGTTCATGTAGGGGAAGAAGGTGTTTGTGTGAAAGAAGAAGGTGAACTTGTGTTACTTTCTTGTATAACATCTTTGTGTAATCTAAAGTGTCCTTTTGTATAACCTTGTATCACCTGAAGTCATGTGAGGTTATGTAACTGCACCACACTTCCAATAGCCAATTAGAATATTTCTATATACAGTAATTACTATAAAATATACTATTTAAATATAATAACTGATATATAATAATAAATACTATTTTAAGGGTGTGGCGACTTAGTGTAGTTGGTAAGTTGTCGCATCCCAAGTGGCAGGACAAGAGTTTAAATCTCACCGGTGACGAAATTCGAATTTGTGAAAATGCGTTACAATAAAACTATATAACATATTGATTGGGTAAGCATCTGTAACCTTGGTCTCACCAACTCGTATTGAAAGGTTGTGAAATGTAGTATAACGTATGAGTTACACAAAACCTGAGTAAAGCAGCCAAATCAATTCAAGGAATCAGGAGATACAGAAGCCTGCTTGGGAAGTCCCGAGTAGAGAGGTAATACAGATCTTCAATAATACTACGTAAAGGATTATCATCTGAGGAACCAAACACTAGCAGTAAAACTGAATGAAGATCGAGTGTTTGGCAAAAGCACTACACCAACCAGGCCGCCAGACTAGCCGGAGGAAAAAGAATTCATTCAGAATATCAGAGGATGCCTACTAATCCCTCCTGGGCCATCTGAATTAGGAGTTTGGAGCACTGTTAGTTGGCATCGAAGTATTGTTAATAGTCCATAAAGTGTGTGCTGGGGTTTGGGTGAACTTTGCAAGGGCACAGAGTAGCAGAGTTAAAAAGCTGCAAGTACTTGGCCGCAGCCTAGGTGTAAGTTACTGAAAATCTAGGTTATACATGTGTGGGACATAGACTGCTCTGGTTTATCACAAGGATAAAGGACCCCCTATATAGTAGTGTGTGTCTGCTTTAAAGTCCTAAGAGGCTTACATGGCAGTTCCTCTCTGAGGAGAATATCTCAACGGCACTAAGTTGATCAGAGGGTTTAATTGGGTAACTCAAGTAATAGTGGGTTACAGATACGACATCTAGTGTAGTTCATATGGGTTACATATACAAGACTGCTTAAATAAACAACCAAAAGTTGTATATATGGCTAGTATATATCCTTGTTAATATAACAAAGTCAGGGGTAGCCTATGTGGTTGCCCTGGCATTTGATCCAAAGTTTAATAAAACATGCCAGACCCCAAAGTAGTCACCTTAATATTAAAAAAAAATAATAATAAAATAAATATAATTTTAACTATATATATAAAAATACAAATATTGAATATTTATAAAAAAATAACTAAGTAAAATCTACACTAAAAATCTACTTTGTAACAATAGATTAAAATAATATTAGTACTTTCAATTTCAATTACTATATTGTTAAACCTATTGTTTTTTATAATATTTTAGAAATGTTATTAAAATACAATTGCACTATTTACTGCAATTTCATTATACAGTAACAGATTGAAAAATTGTATTACCTAATTGAAGATAACTTAGTAAAATATTGTTAGTGTAAACTTTAGAAATAAAATTTTCAGATATTCTTCTTTATTGAGTTGACACCCTTCTGCAAATAGAAATAACACATGATCCAGTAATCTTTTGAAGCATATGATCGTTTTGAATGAAGATTTTAGGTTTTTAATTAATTTGTACAATAAAAGTTAAACCTTTTTAAACTAAAAGTATTTTAAAACATTTTTAAAAATATAAATTTAAGGAGAATTTACAAATAAGGGCCTGGAAAGTGAAAATAATTACAAATATGGGCCCAAATTAAAAATAATTACATATAGAGGCCTAATTTTTAAAAATATTACATATAAGGGCCCAAAATAACTGCGATTTTATTCAAGCTTGTGGCTTTTTCATTATTAGCATAAGAAATGTAAGCATCAATGAATGTAGTTATTAAGCACATAAAAAATGTAACTATCGATTGTAAATTAGTAAGAAAGAATTTTTTTTAAATTTAATAAATTTTATTTTCTTTGTATAAAATTACTTATTGTTATAACAAACCACTATGATGTCAAGTAAAGCACTGCGAATTGGCATGATATTTACTAATATGAAAGATGTTCGTTCAGCTCTAAAGAGCTACTCTGTTGAAACTTCTTTGCCTTATAAATAATTGTGCTGGTTTAACGCTATTTTTTATATATAAATATAAAATTTTGTAATAATTTTGATTAAATGATATTTTTTTGCAGTAGAAAAGTTCAAACTGCCAATATTTAAGCGAAAATGGTTATAACCAGCGCTTCATTTATCCTTCAATCTAATAATCAGTGTATAGATAACCCTAAATGCCCATAATAATCGCGTTTTGTTATTGCTATAATTCAAATGGTCATAGTATTTTGTGGCACAATAATCCTGCGATCACATTTTTTTCAACCATCAATCGATTTGGGCCCTTATAAGGGAGACTGGGGTATTGTGACGAAGTTAAGGTTTTTACTATAAAAACTTTTTACTAACCTGTATAAACCTTTAAATATTTATACACATTGATTTACACTGCATTCAAAAATAGAGCCACTATAAAAAAAAGCGAAAGACAAATCAGAATTAATTAAAAGATCATCATCATGTGCAACGCATTATAAATTTAAAATTTCGAACGAAAGGGGTATTCTGACGAATTCAATTTAATTATAAAAAAAAAAATTTTTTTAACCCGATTTTCTTTTAGTGTTAGAATTAGTCGTTGCACCGCCTTTTTTTTGAGCGGCTGCTTCCTTTTTTTTAGCTAGTGCCTCTTTTTTTTTGGCTGCCACTTCTTTTTTTTTGGCTGCCGCTTCTTTTCTTTGGGCCGCTGCTTCTTTTTTTTGGGCCGCCGCCTCTTTTTTTCGCTTTATTTCTTCAGCTTTTCGTTCTGCTTCCTCATTCAACTCATTTAACTGATGCCAACTTTCCTCTTCAGTTAAAAGCCGCGCAAATGGAAGTGTCTTTCTCTTTTTTTTAGGCGGGGACGACATAAGCTCAGGCTGGTCTTCAGATCTTTCATGATCAGGTGTAACTTGAGAATTTTGAGCTTGAGAAACTGGATACTTGAGTGCTAAACATAATGCACATGTCCCAGGGTTC